ACTTCAAACGATGGGTTTTACCATGGCATTAGCCATGCCATTCATTTACATGCCATCGATTTTACCATTCAACATTTACCACTACTTGGTACCATGCTCTGTCCACATGTCCAGCACTAATCTTGCATCCGATACAGACACGATGACAGTGTCCTTGATGAAGAGCCGACCAGGACGCGGCATTGCATAGAGCGGGTTGCAACCTCGCGGACTGCGAGCACACGCTGTCGAGGCATCGCCGGAGGGCGGTGACTGGCTGCCGACACGAGGGTGTCGGCCCCGGCGAGACGTGCGTACCGCGTCCATCGGAGCAGACAGCCGGGCCGTGCCAGCCGGCGCCCGTGTGATCGATACGGCGATGGCAGGCTTTCATTATCGGAGTTAAAACGTAATGCCGTTCGGATTGTAAAAATGTCACGGAAGTCAGCTACATCGTGATTTGCTTTTGCGGTTATTTATATTTGTGAGCGGAGGAATGAAGAAAGTGTCGCCAGTCCAGTCATTCTAATACATTTATCATGCTATGGTAGTTAAACATCGTTGTTAACCATGATTGTCCATACTATCTATAGACTGACAGACTATCGCCTGGACCGGCAGGTCAGATTGCGTCGTCCAAAATCCCGTTGCTCTCGTGCGCGCTCCTGCTCCTCACTCGTTCGTAACTCGCGCGTGACGATGCTGCATGCAACGAGCGTTAGCTGTTCATTGCAACACCGGTACGGTGTCTGCAATGGGGCTATAAGGGGAATTACACTGAACAACACCGCCGCAGTAAAACGTGCAACTCATCTGTGCCGGCCACGTTCAGCTCCGTCACAGCAGCACTTATTTTCCATGTGTCGACGCGGCAGGCTAGCTGTTTCCGGAATGAGCCTCCGCAGTTGTGTGAAATCTCCAGCCCGTGCCACCCAGCTGACGAATCTGCCGGCGCCGCCGCGCCAAAAAAGCAGGCGTTGTGTGATATGAGGCGGACCAGCTGCTGGGTCGGTCCGAGTGAAAACGCAGGCGTTGTGTGATATGAGGCGGAGCAGCTGCTGGGTCGGTCCGGGTGCAGGTCGCGGCGGATGGTCGGACGGTGGTGAACTGGCGCTGGACTGGAGCCAGTGGTTTTTGTCCACTGGAGCCTCATTGGAGACACCGTTTATGCAACGTCACGGGCGTAGTTGAGCAGGTCAAGGGATGGACGGGCGTAGTTGAGCAGGTCACGGGGTGGACGGGCGTAGTTGAGCAGGTCACGGGGTGAACGATCATCTTCATTGTTTATATGCTTATGTAAACAGGAGCAATTTTGGGCGTGTTCCATGCGTTTTTCATGGTACACTGTACCTGTGCTTCCACTTTGATAAATTCCGTCCACTCGTGAATAAAACCTAGCTAAAATTGGCCAGTTGGTGCTTGAAAGACCGGTCGACCAACCCATTGAAAACTCAGGTCTCACTGGATCGACATGCTGGTGGACCAGTGCTTTGTTGGCCGTCTTTGTTTGGCTGATCAAATGTAGCTAAAATGGGACCGACCAGCCTAGAGTTCAGAGCTTGGCCATTGAACCAGCAGGCTGATGATAATTCGGGATTTTACGGTGACTTACTGGGCGATGCCTCCGGGCTTTACGAAGACCGCGTGCTAGTTGTTCGGACCATTACTGAACAGGCTTGTTTGTGGAGATGATAGATTATCGGAAGCGTCGAAAAGAACCCATTACGTTGATCAATCTCAGTTTATGAGGTGCATATAAGCCGATAATCCGTTACTTTGTTAGCACGGAGACCATTGTTGGTTTGGGATTTTTGAGAGTGGACATTCGATGATCCACGACTGGGGGTGGCCACCATAGTTTCAGAGCCGAGATCGGGGCAGACCCACTGAAGCTTTAGCATTCCACAGGGACCGATTTCCCGATGCCTCAGGGGCCCATTGAGAACTGCCAGTTGATTTATTTACCAGTGTTTCATTCAAAACTGACCATTCGATCTACCGGACCTATTTTGGGCTCAGTTTCTGAACGTTGCCGGATGTCATTAAGCTTGCTCGCAATTGCTGAGCGCTTCGATGCTGCCGGCGACAGGCAGCTGAGGGCCTCCCTGCGCGGAACGCCCCGCTCGCGTGTCCGATCCCTGGCGTGCGGGTGCGGCGCTGACTGTCAGCTGAGCTGAAGGCTCAGCTGTCGCCGGGCCGCGCTACGTTACGTTCGCTGCCGATCCGGCCGAGCCAGTCACGGCCGCATCGGTTGGCCGTCCACACAGCGGCGGCGCGCCGGATTAAGAGCCGGAAGCTCTTCGCGCTCCGAGTGTCGCATCGGACGACGCATCTCCGGCCAGGCAAACGAAAGCCTCGATGACGGCACGGCTGCCAGCAGTGTGCCGGCGCCGCGCTCTCCGGCGGACCGCGCCGCCCAGCTTATCGCGGTAATCAGCTGCGGCCACGGCTGTCTGCCGCCGGCCGGCCGGCCCGGGTGAATCGAACCGGCGGCTAGAGTCGGCGGATGATACCCAATTATCTGACGGAGGTCCCCCGAGGCGGTCGGCGGCGGCGTGCGGGGGGCGCCGCGCGGACCCGCCGTCCGGCGATAACGCGCCGGGCGCCGCGCTGACGGCTGCGATTGCGCGGGACCGGGCCGCCGGCCGACAATAACGGCGCGTTACGAGCCCGCGCCGGACGCGCCGCCGCCGGCGATTAGCGCAGGTCAGCAGGGTCCGGTCGCGGTTCAGTTGCCCCGCGCGCCAGAGACTCCTCCGTCAGCAGCTCAGGCGGCGTGACAATGAGCGCCGCCAGGGGAGGCCGACGGAGGAAGCGGGAAGGGACGGGAGCTGCTCGCGATAATTTGTTCGATTAGTTAGTGGAAAGAAAAATTTGTTCGCTGTGGGACCTAATCGAAGATTTTTTCGATTAGGTCTCACATCTTTCTTATGACGACAGTCCACGTGGCAGTTCATCTTTGCCAGCTTATGTTCTCACCATCTTCAGGTTCCAAGACAAATTGCCGAACAGCGCTTAACTGCACGTTTCTTTTTCCGGAACAAAAAAAAAAACTAATGCTTTTTGCCGATTTCTTGCTTTTGCCGATTGTCTGCTGTTTCAGATTTTTTTGTTTAGCTGCCATGATGGCAGGACAAACGACTGCGAGGTGAAATGCGTATTGACGACGCGCAAATTGTCGAAACGCAAACCAGACGAAAACGGATTAGCCGAGCTGTAACTTAGCAAAATGTCAACATGCTGAAATGGGCATAGACAAATGACAGATAGACGGATGTGATGTCACCGAATGGTCAGCCATAGACGGATGTGATGTCACCGAGTGGTCAGCCATAGGCGGATGTGATGTCGCAGAGTGGTCAGCCATAGACGGATGTGGTGTCACCGAGTGGCCAGCCATAGACGAACGTGATGTCACCGAGTGGTCAGCCATAGATGGATGTGATGTCACCGAGTGGTCAGTCATAGGCAGGTGTGATGTCACCGAGTGGACAGCCATATTCTTTATGTGGCCATTATTTTGGGATCGAGTTGATTTTTCTTTTATAAACGACGCTTAAAAGGCGTGTCAGCAATGCTGGCTTCATTTTAAAGCATAAACATTCGAAAAAGGACATTTCGGCTCACTACCATCCGATATAAGTAATCATGTGCGCGTGCGCGTGTGTGTGCGCGTGCGCGTGTGCGTGTGCGTGTACGTGTGCGTGTGTGTGCGCGTGCGCGTGTGCGTGTGCGTGTACCTGTGCGTATGTGTGCGTGTGCGTGTGCGCACCCTAGGGCAACAAAGAAAAAGAGAAGTGAAGTGCTGTGACCAGTTGTTGACAACGCAATTTGGACACGAAAGTGTTTAAAATACATCTTCTCTTTTTCTCACGATGCTGTTGCAGTGGCATTACCCTGTGCTATTACACATAACTAATCCTGAAGCTTCAGCAAAGTTTGCTTTCGAAATATGCCCTAAATGTGGCGCGCTCCCTGACCCTCTCACACAATGCCACACTCCCTGAGTCAAGGATCGCACTGTCTCTTCGCGAATGAGTCATGCACTCATTCGCGTGGCAAACGTGTTTAATCGTGGAAGATCGTAGTGCTGACCAAAATATTTTACAAAAGAGCTCGGAACAGTTGCATTGATACTCTTCATGTTTCGATTCCGACCTCGGTATATTTGCGCCTCGATATATGCATGCTTGACGAAGGTTCGTCTCTCTGGACATCCACTCCCTACAATCTGTCTGCAGTGAAGATGCTTGATCGCGGCCGCTAGGCAGATCAGATTGACGGACAATGGCGCTTGCTGGACATCCATCTAATGCGGCTGCCGAGCCAGGGGAGGGACAGTCCTTTCAGCGGTGTTTTTTTGCAGGTTTCTATCTGACTAGCCAAGGAGCGATAACTAAGCTGACAATTATCTTTTGGTAGTCCTGCGGACCGTAATGGCTATTATCACTGTCGTCAGATCTGATATGGTTATGTTATTCTCGTCCCATTAATGAACTCATCATCTCTTGTGAACCCCAAGAGACGTGCTGTTTTACATTTTATGTACAGTATGCACATGACATTCAAGGCCACTAAAGATCGACTGAGACGTGTCGACGATCGGTTGTCATATGACAGGACATCCAAAAGTTTTGTGGCGTTCATCTTTGGAAAGGCTCCCCCGTTATATTAGCACACAGTGTTCCTCCCAACATAGGATGGGTATTTACAAACGCTGGGCTGCATGGGCTGTTCACAAACAAACAAGCAGTTTCACGTGGTGTCCGACCCAACCAAAACATTTAAGGTGCGAAACAAAAGTGTTGTTTTTGTGCTGAAGCTAGGGTTATTTTTGTTGGAGGAAACCCAGAAATGCCTGAAACATCAAGCCATAAGGTCCATCTTGTTGTCGTGCTGTTTAAAACGTCTAATATTTGAGAATGACAATTGTAGCTGATTTGAAGTCTAACCGGCGAAAAGGGAAGAGTCTGGCATCAAAAGCGTGTGGTTCTCTCTCGCCTGGGTAGGATGCACAAACTTCCGACACCTTTTCCAGGCGCAGCTAAAGCTTACCGCACATAAGGACGCCATCTTGATGAGCCCAGGTGTAGCGGGTCCAGTAGGGCCCCAGCCAGCTGTCGGAACATTCCGCTGTCCTCGAGGCCCGATAGCAGAGGTCATGCTCCAGGCAGCATCTGACAACAGTGGAAGATTGTACAGCATCACGGATGGTCAACAACTTCAGCAACAACGACGTCGGCATTTCTGACTGGTAGATCTCAAAGAATTATCTCTGTGTCAGATCTCTAAAGAACCATCCCTTGGACGGCAAAAGCATGCCTTAGCATAATGCGTTAGCCCTTCAATACTGTCCGGCATCCATTACACTCCACAGCGTGCACTGGAATAAGCCGACTGGCGGCTGTTTGCCCTGCGTCACCAGCCCTGTTCGCAACACAAAACTATTCTCCAACTACAAGTCTAAGCCACCTAGGTGACTTTCGTGCACGATCCCATAATCGTCAAACTGATCAGTGTGTAATGCGATAAAATTCGTTTCACAAATTGCTTTCCTTATTGCTCGACACATTTGTTGAAGTGTTGTACAGTTTTTTTGCTTTGTTTTTTATAGTAAAATTGCTCAAGTTCTAGTCCTCCTACCACCCCGGGCCTCCTTCCGCCTCTGCGTGTCTTTACTGGCCACCGTCGCCAGATGGCGGCCAGATCGTGAGCTGCCTGGAAGCCTTACGTATTCGATTGATCTCTCGGGAAAATGAAACGTTAGTTCCAATAGTGCGATGTCCTGCCGATGAACGGGAGGAAACATTGCGTGCATCTTACGGTACCTTGTCGCAAAAGCTGGCGAATGCAGTGGATATACGATGAGAAGATTTGGTTTTTGTTTTGCGTTGGAAGGTGTTAGTTGGTTTGCAACGTGATTGCGAGTGATCGTGTTATACGTGATTTCAAGATAATTCAAAACTTTTCAGTGCCTTGCTTACCTCAATAAATTGTCTGACGTGCTGATATTGTTGTCAGTCGGTCACATAAATAGAGCGGTGTATGTGACCGCACTGATGATGGTTCGCCTTGTACATAGTATGCGGCTGCCTAGGTGCCTCCTAATAGGAGTTGTGTGGTGCTCAAAGGGATAATTTCATTTTCAGTTAGTTGGCCATTTCTGAAACCTGATTTAAAGAGAGGATTTATGGATTTCGATGGTTTGCTTTCGAGACCTTTCATGGAGCTAGGTTGTCAGGCATGATGGCTTGCATTGTTTTTGTGACCGTCTTGAAATGTTATGAATTGGAGAAAAGTTTAACTTAGTACAACGCCATCATTTGGAGGATCTGGCAGACATGACTTCCATGCAGTTAATATATATATATATATATATATATATATATATATATATATATACATCGCGGAAGAGGAATGACATTGAGCTGTCCGTGCGTGCGTGTGTGGCGGGGACAGTGACAGCGACGACTGGGCGATGGGGACCACCGAACCGCACCAGCCCGTGCTAGGCGGCCTCTGCCGGCGGTTCGGTGAGCATGCGCTGAATGTGGCGCTGCTTGCTGGCAGCCACAACAGAATGCCGCCTGGACGTGGAGGTCAGCCGCTGGGCCCGGTCCCAGCTGGAGGTGCACCATCCGCAGGCGGGAGAGTCGCGTCTCGTCGTGTGCTGCCTGCTGGTAATGATGCGCACCTAGCCAAAGGATGTCAGCGCATGGGAGTTCCTAGGAAGAGGGTACCGACTGCACGCCTTCATGTCACGGGTGCAGAGTGCAGAGTTATCTGGATTGACTGTAGAGAGCTGTGGGTACCACTGCTATTGTCTCGCGGCTATTCCGAGCGGATTTGTCCGCGGCCGACCCTACCTGTCTACCTCGTCGATGGGCAGCAGGTCGTAGCGGCTGGAGGCGCCGCAATAGTTTCCGTACACGTTGTAGAGCAGCGCCTCGCGGCCCACGTGCTGGCGAATCATGTCCCCGAACTGGCCGACCGAACGACGCGGTCGGGACGAGCGCGAGACGACTCTGCCACCTGGGGAACACTCAGGCACAAGGTCAGGAAGGGGTCCGACCACCTGGAGAACGGAAAGGGGGGCGAAGGAGGTCGGAGCTGCCTGGCCAAAGGGAAGCCTCTCCACTGGCGAAACAAGAAGTTGTCAGGGGAGGAGGGAATCAGCCACATTGGGGAGTGTAGACGTGCTCCCATCGAGACCGATCCGGACCGGAGGGGAGGAGGGAATCAGCCACACTGGGGAGTGTAGACGTGCTCCCATCCAGACCGGTCCGGACCGGAGGCCGCCGTCTAGGGACCACCGAGTGTCCCGGAGGGGGGGAGGGGGGGGGTAGACCATCTGAGGAGCACAGAGGTGGCCCGTCGTAAAGGGAACTGGTCACCTTCTGAACACGCATTGCGCGGACGGGAGAACAACATATTACAAATAACGGCATGAAAGTTCCCTGCCGCGAAGCAGCCCTGCTCCTTTTAGGAACACCGAAGAGCTCTGATGTGACAGGGATCTGTCGCACTGAGGGTCCTCTGTCGGGAATAGATCCTACCATCTGCGGGAGCCCAGAGGTCTCCTGTTTGAGGGCCCGGTTTGGGGACCCAGTGCCCCCCGACCCGTGACCCCGACCCCGGGACTCAGGACTTCCTTTGCCAGGAAGGGAATCCATCAGTTGCGGAACACAGATTTCCTTTGCCAGGAGAAACATGCCATCTGGGCAACATCGCAGCAATGTCTATCAAAGTGATGGTAGCCACATCCTATGTGAAACATTTCAATACATCACGGTGCGGTAAATCAATGTAAATGTAACTGTTGCATGCAGTCCGCAGCTTTCACGGGAGTGGGAGTCAAGGAGCACGTTCGGCCGGCAGATAATCTCGGAAAATTATCCGGAATGTTGGAAAAATTTCCGGAATGGTGTTCAGCACTGCCGTCACGGAAAATTATCGCAGATAATTTTCCGTAGTGAGGGAGAATCGCGGATAACTTTCACAGCATGGTCAAGACAGAGAATCTGTTTTCGCTATGCATAGTTATGACCATTGGCTGTGGATGGCGCATGGGAGGCTAATCTGGGGGATAATTTCCGGGCCGGCCCAGTATAAATGGAGAATCTCCGCGGATGATTATCAGAGAGATAATTCTCTGTTGAGTAATTTTCCCTTGGCCGAACGCGCCCAAGGTCCGGCCCTCTGCACCCTCTTTGTTCTTACATCTATACGCCTGTGGAAACACGCAAGTTTCCCAGTCGAGTTTGGGGATGGACGCCTGCGTACCCCAATGCCTCCCTGTCCGGAGGGTAACTGGCCAACAGTAAGCGTGGTAAAATTAATTTAAGACTCACTTGTCGTTGCGAAGGGTGAGAGAGATACTTCCTACTAAGATCTAGATGTTTTCAGTTAACATCACACAAGAGGAAGCCTGCAGTTTCGAAGGCTTCAGACCCTCAAAAAGAATTCAGACCTGGCAGACAAACTCTGGTGTTTCGCCCAAGCCATGTTCTGGGAGAAACCGAAAACTCAAGCGTCCGGTGCGTCATTTCGACCCGAGCAGTCACCTACCCATAACGGCTAACAGCAGCAGAAGCCTTCCGCAGACGGGCTTGGAGGGCCTCATGCCGTCCGGACCAGGCCTCTTGACGACACTGGCAGCGTTCCTCGGAGGACAGCAACACGTACGACGCCCCGGCGGCGACGGCCGAGAGACTGCGACCGTGCGCAGCCCCCGGCTGGAGCGTAATGTAAACAACGCTGGAGCTTGGACCACAACGCTGCGCTATGTAACGCAGAGGTCCGATCTGTTTGGAAACCATGGAGCGAAGTCCGCGCGTCAATGCGTGAAGCGGACTATCTGTGCCGTGCGCGTACGACCTCGGCCAGTTTGTCATTTACACCACAAGCATTGCTTGCTGCGCAGTCAGTCGCGCTGAGCAGTTGAACTTTGCTTTGAAATGAGCGGCTGGCTGCATCTGGTGTAAAAAACATTGAGCTCTGCTAATTTTCACCCAGATCCATAGCGTTGGCAATAACAATGTTGCGTTACACGCCCTCTCGATTCAAACGAAAGAGAACACCAATTAACTGAAATTCGGTCGTTCCGAAACTGACCGACGCATTGCGATATCCACCAAGACCAAAGTCTCTTGGCATCTTCAATATTGCCAAAAACTTATTCATGCAAGCAACCAACGTCACCGCTCATCTTCTCTTCACTGGTGGCAACCCCCATTCAGTCGGACGCGCTCTACCGGAGCTGGTCCGTCGCGCTGACCGCGCCGTATCGTGGCCGACAATGCGGCGACCATAAAACCGGCGACATCCCCCTGTTTACCAGCCGACGCTCGCGCTGTCCCGCCTCTCCCGAGTCGCTGTGAGGGGGGGGGGGGGGCGACGCGAGTTGACTCCGACGAGGCCGGCGCGCAGTACCGTCGGCGCCGAGAGGCCCGGGCGCCGGCGCCGGCCGGCAGTGGCGGGGGCACGGCGGCACGGTGAGGAGCGCGATGACCATAGAAGAAGCACGACCGCCGGCCGGCGACACGGTGAGAGGGAGGGAAGGGAACGCCAACATGAGAGAAGGGAGAGGCTACGTGTGGGAGCAAGGGAGAGGTTACGTGTGAGAGCAAGAGAGAGGTACGTGTGAGAGCAAGGGAGAGGTTACGTGTGAGAGAAAGGGAGAGGTTACGTGTGAGAGCAAGGGAGAGGTTACGTCTGAGAGCAAGCGAGAGGGTGAGAGAGAAATAGAAAGAGAGAGTGAAAGATAGGAAGAGAGAGAGAGAGAGAGAGAGAGAGAGAGAGAGAGAGAGAGAGAGAGAGAGAGAGAGAGAGAGAGAGAGAGAGAGAGAGAGAAGGAGAAAAGAAGCAGAAACCGGGTTTATGTCGACGCTGCCCATGAATGATGCGCTGATTTTAAGAAGGCGACTTGTGTATGGAATTCCGCACACTTGTGTACGCACCGCTTAATCCTACAGTTTGCCTGAGGACATGTCTGATGGACAGAAGGACGCAAAACTACATATCCCTGGAAAGGAATTACAGAGATGGAAAATTCAAGAAGGATTTTATAGAATTGAAGGCGGGTACGAACGCAACTTCAAATGTCCCGGATGTACTGACTGAATTCTAACTTTTTTGCCATGCATCATCATGCATCTATCTTTATCGGAGGTCCTCTCGTTATTGGTAACGTCATATCATGGCTCCCACGGGTGGCCTGTTGATAAGTGCAAGAAAAATAAATTTGAACCCAATCTCTCCATGCCAACTATGACCATCATTGAGGCTTGGCATGCTCGGATGGTTGTCATGCTGTATTACAATAGCATTAAGCTCTTTTAATCATGAGCACACAGATCGTCAAAAGCTGTTACCCGGGTAAATAGTCTTTGTTCATTTAGGGCGAAAACTGCAGCAGCAAATGTGTTTAATTCTGCTTGGCAATGTGCAGTAAAATTTAACAGCTTATCCCATCAGCGCACTATATCATAGTGTAAAATTATTGATTTTAAATGAAGAGAAATTCACGACGCTTACAGAGAAATGGAAACCAGCAGACAACACTGCGCTTAGGTCGTGGAACGTGAACATGATAACGCGTGTATCTCCAACACTGTTAATATCTGCATCACTTACCTTGTACTAAGCTTAATATAGCAGCGCAGCAAAGGCTGACTGCAACATGACCATCTGGCTGCGTGTCACATCGCAACGAATAACGACAGTAATTTTAGATGAGGCTGATGATGACATATGCTCCCGGAACTTCGTGAGAACTACCCTAATTGGTCTGCTGCTGGTCGGTGGTGAACGCACTTGATTTATGATCTCATTTCTCCAGTTCATTTAATTTGGCCGCGACAGCCATCCTCGTATACCGTCGGCTCTGAGATCCACATTCGCGACGACGTAAACAGCAGTCGTCCAGGCCGAAACCACGTGAATATAATACGCCGACGACTACGTGAAAGGAATATTTGTGGGCAAGCGAAAATGGTTTGAATTTTACAAGCCCAGCTATGCAGAATGGGCTCGCGAATCGGCTGACGTCATTTCCGCTGCCATAGTTGAAAAGTCTCGGAGTGAATATTAAGATAGAGTATGGGCTTGAACCGCTGATACGTCACCCGTTATACTGACCAGCTGTAATGCAGAGAAGAGTTACAGCCCTCCGGTTCATGGTGTTACTTTATGCTGTCGCGTTCACGCACCACCATTTCTGGTAACATGTTACGAGGCTGGGTTAAATGGTTTTTATACTTCGTCACTGTGCGTCATGCAACGAGGTGAACAACCGATAGCAGATGTCAAAGAAAAATATTGAGCTCAGTTAGGACAGACCTAAATCAAAGGGTTATCGGAGTCTTTTGCCTTGTTTTTATTTCATTGCTCCCTTGATGTAGTTTTTTTTTAAAAAAAGGTGGCACGGATCCAGTAAATCTAAATGAAATATTAAAAAAACAGAGAATCTATACCGATCCATCATTCAAATACCTGTACTGAAATATATTTTCCCGCGCACAGCCTAGGAAAATGGGTGATTATCTGAAAGTACTCAATAGAATGCTATTGTTTTTCAAGCTTTCTCCTGAGGACTTCAACAGTCTTAATAAGAAAGCTGCATCCTGCGGGCTATTCAGGGACGTGTTTGTGTCGTCCGTTGCCAGCCAAGCTCAGCCGGCCGTGCCGTGAAATACGCGTGGACAGCGGTCCGGGCTGGTGCCTGGAGAAAGTCATAAGGACCGACAGACTGCCGAAGGCAAGCCCTCCGTAGCTCGCAGTCGGCAGCCACATGCGGTTTTACACAGAACTTCGCGACCAATGCGTCACTGGTGTGACAGACGTTGGTCAGCTGTTGGTCGCTTTAACGTTTAGAGTTTGAGGTACACTCTACGTAACCCCGATCGTTGGGGTGGTTTTTTTTAGATGTTGAACTGGCAGGAGGGATTCTGATGTAAAAACTTGTTTTTTTCTGCACATGCTAACGTTAGCCATGCCTCTTAACGTACTTAAGATGAATTATTAATTAACTTCGTTACCTCTACCTCACATCTCGTACCAATCTTTAAAAACATAGTAGCTCTATGCCTCAGTCGTATTCTGGCCGAATGCAGCTTAGGCAAGCCGTTTTAGCCAGCTCACGCGGAGCCTTGGTAAACAAGCGGCGTGGCTGGTCGGAACGTATTTGGCTTTCCGACGTCAGATGCCTGTAGGAATGGATTGATACTGTTGAGGAAGCTGACTTCTGGGACGAACTGATCCTTCGATTGAAGCTGAGCTCTCCGCTGGCGTGGCGCGGTGAAGCTCTGGGCAAAGGAAGTCGTCTGTTGCGCTTACTTTAGTGAATGTCTATGTAATCGGGTTCGACAGAGTTATGCAAACAGGCCGGAAATACCGCATTGTGGGCACATCTTTACATTTTAGTTGATAACAATGAAATGCCATATTTTTCATGATAACAGCTAACGACATTGGCCAAAGCAGGTTCAAAAAGGTTGAACATAAAAAGGAGCACTGCCATGCAATCAGCTCTTTTACATTGTATTGTATATCTTACTCGACGCTCATATTTGTTAAAAGCACGCTAGTTGGTATGCTTCCTGGAGGCGAAAACGTTGCTGGGTGAAAAATGTGCACACCGTCCAGGGACCTCAGACATTTAACGGACGACAGTAACAGACAGCAGACAGGAATTTTGGCTGACTTTGTTATGGAGCGATGCATCTTTGCATTTTAACTATGGCCCAATGATTTCATTCATTTCATTCAATGATTTTTTCATTTATTGATTTCGATCATTTAAAAAAACATGTGATAGATCGATGAATTGCAGCTGAATATTTTACATTATCTGAAATGAACGGAGGCACTTCTTAGGATGAAGGAAAAAGCATTTTGTATCCAGAAGTTTCTTTGGTTTGTTTTTTTGGTGCTTTAAATTTTATTGATGCAAGGTTCATATCGGTGTTCCCGCGGCATTTAGGTACATTTGGCGCGATCAGTCGTGACAAATGTAACTCAAGTATATCAATTATTGTAGGCAATCATTGCTGAGAATGTAAAATGCTCAAACAAACTTTTGGAAGTTTGACTGACTTGCCTTATGAACAATGGTCAATGTAATTCAAAATGAGAGTATATTTCAAGACATCTGGCCGCTGACTGGCAGACATATGGGTTTGCGTAAATCTCCACCAAAGTACGTTGGTAGCACAACCTCTCTACGGCGTACGTTTCGTGCGTACGAGTTCCATCAGACCAAAATGCGATGAATCCATTACCAAACGAAATATTGTTTAATTGTCTTCACCCTACCCATCGACCATTTTTTGTCTAGAGAGGCCAAACTCCGGACAGTGACTTTCAGCACGGCGTACCGGGTTAAAATTTTGGTGTAAGATAAGCCATGAATTATCTGACTTATGCGTAACATTGGGTGGTCTCAGTAGCTCGATCGGTAACGTACTGGATTCATAGTCAAAAGGTTGCGGGTCCGTATTTAGTCGGAGTGTTTAGCACTTTTGTACCAGTTTCCTACGGCAAAGGCTAGATTGTGTGCTATCAGCCAGTATATGTTTTCAGTGCAACGCAATGTACAGGTCCCTGGGAGCTTCTTCCAAAAGTGTTGTGACAACATCCATTTAAATTTTAAACACATCCACTATTATGGCATCTGCGCCACGCTACCTCCAGTTACCGGTTGCCAAGTATTTAGTGTAAACTAAGAAATCTAACCTTTATCGAACATCTAGTGTATTTTTCGTTGAATACTGCATGTTTTACGCTGAAATTCGTTATAACCAGTATCTATTACCCTGGGTTTGGGTCCTAAAGCACGGCGCGTCACTGAGCGTCAATTTGCCGATTGCCAGGATGGTCAGACTATCGTGGGGTGGCAGGGTGTGACGTTACGTAGCATATTAAAGGGGGCTGGCCATATATGTATATGTATATGCATTTATATATATATATATATATATATATATATATAGATAATAGAAAAGTTTCACATTTAAAGATATTGAAACAAACGCCAGAAATTATGAAACAAGCCCACTTATAAATGTTGGTACAATTTTAAGTAGAAAAAATTGTTCCAGACAACACAGTTTCGCTGTTACGTGCATAGGCTCCTCGATACGTCATTACTTGATTACATCATCGCATCCTGCACAACATTGATTGAGAGCCTATTGGCGGCCGTTACAGCTGTTGTATCTGGAAGTCGTGCTCACGAATGCCAGATATGACCAAATCAACCAAAACGTTTGTCCCGGCATTGGTAGCCGCGTAGCTTATGAAATGGCTGAATTTGAATGACGTTATTATGACATCATGAATGCCAAGTTGACTTTGAAATATTCTCCCGGAAATATCCTTCCCATTTTCGCGGGTGTGTAGCTTAGAAACTAGAGGTGTTTAGACCTCAAGAAGGGCAGTGTTTAACCTTTGGGTACTGACCACCAAAAGGTTTTCAAGATGTTTTGTTTTGCCCAAAACCCTATATGGATGTGGAACACTCTCTTTCACTGCAATTACTAAATTG